GCGAGGAGTCGCGCTCCGTAGGTGCGGCCCGGGCTGAAAGCGGTGGATTTTTTTATTAGGAGGATGGAGAGAGAGGTCAATCAGAGACTTAGGCTGATATGTGAGCGTGCTTTGGTTGAGCTAAGGAGGAGCAGTTTCGTCGCTCAATACGTCAGTGTCGCGTCAATATGAATCGCACATCCAAAATTTTACTCACATTTTGACTCAAATAGTCTAACGGTACGTGGAGTGTCAAATATAAGTCAGGGTTTATCGAACCCCATCCGTTTTCTAATTATTTTCCTGTCTTTCTTGTATTTTTTCTATCTTTTATCCGTTTAACTAGTTTTTTTTCTATTAACGCAAATATTTAGATGATTTATTTACAACTTTTATACAGCAATTATTTTGTACACAAATTAAAAATTAAATTTTTTTATATATTTTTAATAGGGTTTGGTGTTAGGGTTAGGGTTAGGGTTAGGGTTAGGGTTTTTGAATAATTCCTTGATTACGGGGAACGTGCTTGATGCGGAAGTTGGATGCGACTAGTATGATGTGACATATGCGCGTACACGCAGCCATCAGAGGCTGTATGCAGTGCACTTCGGAGATAGCCGAGTGCGGTGCCGTGACGTACCACTGACGTCACGCGGATACTACGTTTCAGGAAATTCCAGCCACCGCTGGAAATTCCCGCGTTCTTGGACACGAGCAGCTAGTCCTGAATCTATGAAACTCTCGTCTGCTGGGTCGGCCTTGGAAATTCACTGGACAGGCGTGATCTATTTCGGTGTTTCTCTTCAAAGCATGAGCATAAAATTAAAAAATTTAAAGCGTTTATTGCTCTCCCCCCCCCCCCCCTTTCGCTCTCGCCGCGCTCTACGCTCCCGAGCGCACTCCTCTCTCTTTCTCTCTCCCGCTCTCTCTCTCTCTCTCTGCTTCTCTCTCTCTCTCTCTCTCCATTCGCGACTCTCTCTCCCTCTCTCACTTTTCTCTTTCGCACACGCCTACACACGCACACGATCACACGCACCACACTATACGCACACACACAACACACACGCACGCATCGCACGCACGCACACACACACCACACATACACACGCACGCACGCACGACGCACGCACACAACACCACACACGCACGCACGCACGCACACACACACACCCACAACCAGAGCGCGAAGGCGCACCGCGCACACACACCAAACACACACACACACACCCACAACGCACACAGCGCGCGCACGCTCAACGCTCACAGCCAGAGCACAGAGGCGCGGGGAGAGGGCCAGGAACGTCACGGAGGGGGGAGGGCGGTTCCCCGTATAATTAAAAAAAAACAGAAAGAGAAAAAATGGTTGCGACGGGCTGAAAGCTTTGGTTGTGCGAGGGGGAGGGAGGCATTCAGCCCGAATCCAGCTCTCATGCTAATTCTAATTACTTAGAAACCCTTTCGCACTGGCGGGCTCAGAAGCATGCGGGTCCCGCCGCGTCTATTTTTTGCGCGCTACCACTAAGATGCGTAGCGCAGATGTTTTATGTTGCCTTGTGACCCTACAAATACCTAAGCACGGGACGAGAGACTACGTGAGATTAATCTTTGACTCGACAAGAGTATATTGACGCATGAGTCATGTTTGAATCACGTGGTGCGGCGGATTTTCGTGAGTAATTGTGACGCATGGTCGGTCATCTTAACTCACGTGCTGCGGCGGATTTCGTTGAGTAAATTTGACTCATGCGTCATTTTACTTGAGCTAAAATAAACTCACGTGTGCGCCGGGGCAATAACTAATTTTCGCACCGTGGATATTGCGTCCGAGCATAATATACACAGTAAGTACAACAGTGACGTACCGTAAGCCAATCCTAACCATAATACTAACTCTAACCGACTCGGCACTATCTTTTACGCGTGTCATAGTTAGACAAATTAATCTAGTGTGTATAACCTTTCGTATGATGCGCAACGAATGCCTGCGAGACGAATATCCTCGGTCGCTAAACCTAACCCGGAACCCTAATCCTAACCCAACCCTAACCCATAGGGGCGTTACGCGTTACGCATTTACTGCCGATTTACTAGCCGGGGGGGCTGGGACGGTGCTGCAGCACCCGCGCTGATTGTCTGTGTAGATTGAGTAGTGCGTCGTTGCAGCGGTACACGGGTGCGTGCGTGCGTCGTGCACGTAAACGTGCGTGCGTTGTGCGACGTACAAGTGGTCGTGTGCACGGTACAAGTGCGGTACGGCGTGTGCACGATACCACGGCTAACTACGACTCGCGGTTTATAACGAAAACAATGCCAAGCTGTGACAAGAAGCGTCAAGGCGCCGCCTTGTCTGTCGTAGTATGGTACATTAATTATTTATTTTAAGGTTGGAAGATAAGTAATTTTACAATGTTTTCTCCAATAAAATAATGACATGGTGCGATATGCTGGAAAAACACCTGGCAGGACGATCTTCGAGTGGTTTACAGCACCTCGTCAGCTGCGTGTAAGAGTATAGAGTTAGCAAAAGGTTTACGTAAGATTTAGCTTGGATGAATCGCCACCTAAAACGACCTCGCTTGCGCTACGCGAATCGTAAGGCAATTATAAATAACTGCGTTGATAATCGATAGAAGCAACGCTCGTTGCGTATCACAAGGATTTACTCGCAACAATATTTTGGCGTACGCAGCTTGATGAATACATGAATCTAACCCCCTGGACCCACCACGTCAGTGCAAAGCCCACGGTTATCAGAGTCTACAGTCCAGGGCGCTGTTACAGAGGGACGGACCCCCGCTGCTCTCGCCGCAGAATACGCATCCAGAGGGTCTAATTTCAGGAAAATTCGAGAGACCCCCCTTCGCGAGTGCGAGTGCTCGCAACTTGGTTACGGGTTAACCCCCTGTCGGAGCAAATCCTGTAACGCCCTGTTTTCGCCGCCCCCCCCCCCCCCCTTTAGAAAAATATACCTGGCGCCGCCCCTGTCACACACACACAACACACACAACAGCACAACACACACACCACACACACACACACACACACACACACCCAACACCACACACACACACACAACGTACCACACAAACACACACACACCACGCTGGCGCTGCATTCGCACCCCACGGCACACACACACTACACAAGCAATCGTCGACGTCTGCCAACCCTGGAACATTGACACACGTATCGCAAAATGATATTTCACACACACACGCACGCACGCACGCACGCACGCACGCACACACACACACACACACACACACACACATACATACACAGACACACACAAACACACACAAACACACACACACACACGCACACACACTCACACACATACACAAGAATCGCCGTGCCAACCCTGCAAACATTGACACACGTATCGCAACAATGTAGTTCATCATCAAATAAACTAAAAAAACTCGGCGTGCGGTGAGTAATAAGTTTTGTAGCAGGCGTTAGGTCGATATTTTTTTCTTGCCGACGTTTAGGCGTTATTGCGTCGCTAGATTCCCATGCTGCTGCTCCGCCCCCTCACATTGTCATTGTGGGGTGTGCGTCCGTGAGCCGAAGTGTGCGCGCGCTTCGCGCAGCGCGCGTTGGTGTGTGTGACGTGTGTGTGTGCGTGCGTCGCGAATCGCGCGTGTGTGTGATTGTGTGTGTCGTTGCGCGCGCACGTGCCGCACTCGTTGTGCGCGCGCCGTGGGGTTGGCGCGCGCACGAATCCCGGTGATAGAAGATACGTAGCGGCTGCGAGGGTGTGCGCCGTTACGTGTGTTATTTGGGATGTGTGTGCGCGCGCGCGTGCGTTGTCGTGCGTGCGCTGTGTGTGCATGTGTGGTTGGTGCGTGTGCGCGCGGCGTGCGTGTGTGTCGCGTGGCGGTGTGGGTGCGTGCTGGCTTGTAGTGTGCTCGTGCGCAGCAGCTGCGGTTGTGTGCGTGGTGCGCGCGGTGCGTGTGTGTGTCGTGTGCGCCGGCGCTGTGTGGCGTGTGTTGTAGCCAGTTTCGCACACTGAGCTGTATATAATAAGTTAACTGTTATTATAGCCGTTAACCAATAGTTAGCTGTAAGATAATAGCTGTTATCACAGAGCACGTATACAGGGGTGTATGCAGGGTGGGGGTGGTCGTGAGCCCCCAAAAATTTCAAAAGGTCCACATTTTTTCCAAAGATAAATGAAAAAACATAATTGATCAGGTACCAGCAATGAGTCCAAAGACCTTGCCAATTGCGTGTTTTTTTGTTTCAATTAAATTGTATTGACATTTTAATCACATCTTGCTGTTATTTCATTGTGAAAAGGTCCAAAAAATTATGATCACGACCCACCCAGAAAAAATCCTGGATACACCCCTGGTATATCATAATATGGTGTATGAGCTGATATGATATACACGCTCTGTTGTTATATAAAGCTCAGAGGTTTTATCTATGGTTTTTTTTCGTTTTCAACCCCGAATGTCGCCATCTACTGGCGATTACCGACGCTAACTTGCGGCTGCGATCAAGCTTTGACTCTTGTTTTTCAATGCTGCCAGCGTCATTCTCTCGTATCATGTCAGCTTCCAGAAGCTGTATATTATCTATATCGTTATACTAGAGAACATAGTATTAAAAGTAATTAACGCGTTAGGGAACAGAATGATAAGGGTATGGTTTACTTGAAAACTACATTAGTATATACTATATAGGTGCAAGAAGAAGGTGAAGACGCATCCATGATCCAGTGCACTGCTGCATAATGCATTGCAAAATTGGCATTAAAATCGTAAAGCGCATAGTTGGCCTGCCGACCCGAGTAACACTAACAGTAACAGGGCTGTTAATCAATTCCCTTACTAGCCTTAGCCACATGCATCTCTAATTATCACAGCATGATCACTGCGTATGTAGTCGCAGTGCCCGTTTCGACAACAACCCTGTGAGACTAACTACCATGCATTCACTACATTAGTGGTAGCTCCAAGAAACGGTATTGCTAGGGTTAGAATACCGACGAATACCGTATATTGACGTTAGTCACACAGCCTGGTCGGGTTAGTGGCTGACTTGAAGACTGTATAGTCAATTCGCCCTCCCTCGCTGTATTTATTTAAAAAAACTTGTGATATATGTAACAATGTAATATACTTGAAAGCGTAAATAAATTTCAAAATCTAAATCTCAAATCTATACATGATTATTACATGCCCTGGATCATTAGATTAGATCATTATATTTATAGTCATTTAGTTAGATTTATTTCTTCTTTCTATTCCAGTAACAACTATTAAACATGTTTGCGACAAGCACCCAGGTGAAGCACTGGATCTTCTCGTCGCCGGACGAGCTGCACAAGTGCCGCGAACTCGCGAACAGCAAGTTCTCCGAGAGCCACGGCGGCGCGCAGTCTCACTTCCTGCAGGTGAACGAGGAGCGCATGCTCTGCAGGCACTTTGAGAACGTGATGAAGGAGTTCTGCGTGAAGTTCCAGCCGCCGATGCCGCGTAACACGATCGCGACGTCGTTCGCTTACTTCAAACGCTTCTTCCTGCACAACTCCGTCATGAACTACCACCCGAAACACATCATGCTCACCGCCGTGTACCTCGCGTGCAAGACGGAGGAGTTTAACATCTCCGTCGCGCAGTACGTCGCCAATCTTCCCGGCAAGCGGGAGAAGGCGGCCGATCTCGTGCTGTCCAATGAACTGCTGTTGATGGGCAAGCTGAACTACCAGTTGACAGTGCATCATCCGTGGCGCCCCCTGGAGGGCTTTTTGATAGACATGAAGACGAGATTAGATATTAGTGATAAGACAGTGGAGGGCTTCAGGAAAGGTATTTGCTAGGTTTTGGTAAATTGTTTAATTTTGAGTTTAGATAAAGCAGTTTAGAATGCTGACAAGCAATCAAAGGTTTTTATCGATCCCTCTCTTAGATAATATATTTACCCACTATAATAAACTAATAATTCTCGCCTTCATACAGTAAATTACTGTTTAACGCACTTCTTTTTTTCTGAAACGTCATCACGCTTCACACTTATAAATATCACTCAAAAATATGTAGACCTGCAAACACGCATCTTGGCGTTATAGGAGCAGAGGACTTCCTGGATGGGTCGTTGCTGTCAGAAGTGTCGCTGTTGTTCCCTCCGTCACACATCGCCCTGGCTGCGGTCGTGTACAGCGCTCAGAAGCAGGGTATTCAGCTCACCAGCTACATATCTGACATCCTCCTGGCCAGTGCCGACGATGCGCAGAAGGGAAAAGTACTGGGAGCGGTGAAGGAAGTGATCGCCGTGGTGGGAAATGTACGCACGGTGATGCATGATGTTTTGGGTTGAAACACACAGTAATACGTACTTTAATACACTACTACTACATTAATATTACATGTGATGATGTGGTCTAATAACATAATAAGGTGAACAGGTGCATGTGTGTTAACGAAGCTGTCTGCCTGTCTGGTGTATTGTTGTGCTTGAAATATTAGATGGAGTTTTATCCATTTATTTGTGCCCCCATTGGAAAAGTCCTCTTGCGGGAAAGAAATTGTAGATTATTTTGCATTACATGGTTATAAACTTGTGACCCAAAGTGAAACAGTGTCTCATGAATCGATAGCTAGAGCAGCGTAATTGCAGAACCATGGTAGGTGGAAACTATAAGTATAGAATGAGATGAGAAAGACATGAATATGCGATGTAATTGTGAATGGACACAAGGATTGACGTATGCTTGCTTATTACTGCAAGACAAATTTACTTCACTGTTGTTTGTGTTTGTTAGGTTGATCGTCTTCAGAGAGACAAAGTGAAGCAGATTGAGAAGAAGCTGGAGATATGCCGTAACCAGAACAATAACCCAGAGAGCTCAGCTTTCAAAAAACGCAAAGATCGCGAGGTATGAAAATATACACAGTGCGTGAAATTAGTGCTATTTTGCCGACGGCCGCCGGTTCAACCCCATAAACCGCCGGTTCAACCCCATAAAAACAACCGGTTCAACCCCCCATATAATCAGTCCACTTGGCCTATTCAAGATTTTGCGTATCTTGCCTTTATATCAACAATATTTACAAATTTCCTGACTAGTTTTTACTTAGTGACTACTAAGAAGTAAATCATTTTCCAGCAATTCCTGTCAAACAAGTAGAACTCTACTGACATGACTGATAGCAATGAAATATTGAAATACTATGAGTATGCCTAACAAACACAAAGCAAATACTTTTATTAATAATGGAATAAATTGAACAAAATTAAGGGCCTGTTCAAACTTGTAAGCCTGTTCAATTTGTCTAAGGGCCTGTTTAAAATTTTGGGTGGGCCTGTTCACATTTTGCTTAATTTCATGCCCTATCTTCATATTACTTAATATACATAATGCTCAAATAAGGTTGAAATTTGCCTGGGAATAACCTACTTTAGTTACAGATTTATTGTAAAATCTACTTTAAAATGACAAGATCATAAGCTATTAAATTTAATATAGTTTAATCTAGTTTATGTTGTTTTTAATATAGTGAATATAAAGAAGTAATAATGCTCTGTAAAAAGTGTTCCAGAACTTGAATGGTTGCCTCCCGACCATTACCAAGTATTTTCATATGGTTAAAAATTAAGACTGACTATTAACTTTTTGTCTGGACCAAAATTTTGATGTAAATATGTTAGACCTTCCAATCTCCCTAAAAGGTTTTACAGTAATTTGACTGTGACTTATAAACATGAACACCACCAATGGGTTGATAGTTTTTTGTTGTATACAGCATACATTATTATTTTGGCAAGTAATAAAAATTACGATCTGCACCGAGCAGATTCAATTAAGAGACTGTTCATATGTGCAGGTTTACGTTATAGCCTTTATCATTCTATTGCTACACCAATGCATGTCTACTAAACCAGTTCCATCCCAATAGCTATAACATAGGATTAGTACACTGTAATTCTGAGTGTATACATTGCTTGTGACTGTGTGCATGCATATACAATATCATGTGTGACGTCCATAGAAATAAGTTAGACTATATAGAACAGTGCTTCTTAAACTGGTGAATGGTTCATGCAAGGGTGAATGAAACTATTTCGGGGTGAATGAAACAAGACCAAAAACATGGAAATTTAGTGGCGAATGAATGAAATTTTGTGATAAAGCCTCGAGGGTGACTGAATGACACTGAAATATTTAAAGGGATACTAGACTCTAGGATTTTACTGCATACAACTGTACTTACTGTATAACAAATCGTCTATACCCACACGTACTTGTTATGAGATACCTAATTTAATTGTTATAATTAATTATACATCAACGCTACGAAATTTGAACGGCGCCATTGACACCCGCAACCGTGCTGCCACCCTGAAAAACAACTTTTCAGATTGTGCGCTTTGAGTGGCGCCACCGTCGTTGTAATCAAACTGTAGTCGTTAGTTTTAAAACATTAAAAAATATGTTTCTAATGGTGATTGAACCATGTAACTTTTTATGTAGCGTAATTTTAACCTAAATTAACTGAAAATAACCCTAGAACCTAGAGTAAAGGATCCCTTTAAAGAAGCACTGGTATAGAATATATATAGTGTCTTTATATATTTCTATGGTGACGTCACTGCTCTGCGTTCATTTTTAGCTCAAGGATGATGACAGGCGACGAGAGCAGAAGTACGCGCGGCAGGCTGCGCAGGAGAAACGTGAGCAGGCTCAGGTATGTGGCATCGTCGATGTGAGCAAGTAGGGCCTGACGATCGACCGTCGCCGCGGCGAACACGCACAAACGCCTGCAGCAGGTTAGCCTTCGTGATGAAGAATCTTGAACTCGCAGCGTTATTTTCTGTACTAGCACCACCACAAACCACCAACCATACCTAATTACAATTTTCCATCTGACTAACAACATATACTGTATATGATGTATATAGTGTGTGATGTCTACAATGATGTATTGCTGATTTTCTATCTGACAATTTATTATGGTGGCAAAATAATAATATATACTATATATACAACAAACTTTCAACCTATTGGTAGTAGGGTCAGATGGAAATATGTCACGTATTGTTCATAGCAGGTCCAACAATGCGGTTGGTAAGCCTGTCATGGTTAATGAAATAGCTTAAGAGAAAAATAGCCAAGTTTGTATTTAAGAACAGCAATATAATTTATGATGCATTCCAAATTTTGCTGTTGTGGACAAGTTGAGTTGGAGAGCATTGAAATTTCTCTCTCCCTTATAGCCATCTACCACGCAACACTATGCATAGTTATTACTGTAAATAAGGTACTAGTGTTGAGTCAGGCTCAGACAGTCTTACATGGTGTGAACTTAAGTGTAAGCATTGCAGACAATGTTTGACTAATGACATAGGAAATAACAACAGTAAAAGTAGAGATATGTTTTTTTGATCTTTATTGCAGTAACTGTGTTTCTTAAGTTTATTGCTCTCTAATAAATTACATAAATCCAAGAAAACTGTTTCGTCTAAATTTTCCATAGCAGTACTCTGTGAAGCTACCATTGTATCGATTTATGAGAAGTTTATTATTACTCGTCCCTCAAACCAAGAGACCTAGATGAAAAGCTGAAGTAATGATGGCTTTATTAAGACACGTATATGAAATTCAAGTACAGCACATTGTCAACTACATTTTCAAGTGAATCGTAGCTATGTGCATTGTTAGATATATATATCTCTATCCTATTACTAGCAGAGGAAAACTAATCCAGAGACCGCAGTAAAACATTAAATCTCTCTCCGTTGAAATTTTAGTGTCCTATTTCCTAACTTCTACGAATTGTGATGTCATCGATTTTATCTGGACCATTGCTATTGGAAGTGCATCAGCCACCTTTAGGGCTTTGTCATGACCATCTACGCAAACCACGATATGTACTATATTTTTAATAGTGAAATCTTTGCCAACCGATGAGAAACTAGTCACAGACTTGGCAACCAGCTGAGTGATGCATCCCTCGGCTTGTAATCTGGGTGGATCCCTTCCCCATTCAGTTTGATTAGTTGGGGGTGTACCCTGTTGGGGAAAAAACACAGGCAGTAAAGTGTTAATATGTTAATATGTTAATATAAGCCTTCTTTATATGCTCTTGTTAATATGTATTAATATGACACTTAGTGGTCTGTGGGCGCGTCTTCTCTCACTGGCAATGCGTGCAGGCATGAAATTATCGAAGATTAGCCACGTAACGCCAGTGTCTTGTTATTATCTGTACTACACCTTGGCACAAATTCAAATGCTTGCTACTCTGCATTTTTGTGGCACTCTGGTGTGACTAGATTGGTGATCCAGTATGGCAGTCTGCATCGCTCTTCTAGGAATAATGGACGTGCGGAAATGTGGCATATTGCATATACACAACAAAACAACATAACACAAGACAACACAACAAAACACAACATTACACAACACAACATTACACAACACAACAAAACACACAACATAACATAACACAACAAAACACACAACAGCAACAAACATCATAACACAACAAAATACAACGCAGCACAACAACACAACATAACACAACACAACATAACACAACACAACGCAACACAGCGTGTGCTAGGATTTCAGCACTTGGTTGTAGGTAGAAGGCAGTGAATACACATACAGTCTGCACCATGCACGCGCGCGTGGATTTGTAAGGGCGTCGTCATCCGCAAACACTTGCCTGAAGTCCAGCTCAGTCTTGCAGCAGACATCACCATCGACGCACCACTGCGACGTCGCTGAGATATGCTCGGCCGAGCTCACTCGCTGCCTCGCGAAGCTCACGGTGGGCACGCTCATCGCCCGCGCCCTTCTCGTGAGACGGTCCATGCTGCTAAACCTCTGCAATAATTAGTACCGTCATCGTTACCATGCATCATTACTGCAATTACCTAATTACTCTAAATTAATCACTCGTCAATTAATTAATTTTATTTATTTATTTATCTCAAAAGTAATTGCTCATCAATCATTACTGTCAAATAATCGCCAATATCTGTCATTTGTCAGCATGGTTAGTGCTCATCGTGCGTAGTTCATTACTAGTTTCAGCAAGGACAGTTTACGATTGTACCTGTGGGGATTTTCATGTGGGAGAGGAGGAAGGAACAACTTTTTATGGTATACTATCACTATGGCCTGCTATGGTATCACTATTATATGGTATCACTATGGTATCACCATGGTATCACTATAGCATCACCATGGTATCACTATTATATGGTATCACTATTAAGTGATAAATGACGCAGTTCTCTGGTTTCTGACGTGTTACCCTCAGATTGCTAAGCCCATCTCTAGATGCACGTTGCTGACCAGGCTGCATCGCATCTTCTGTTCCGTCCACGCCTATCG